ATTTGGCTGTCTGCGGACTGGACAGTGCACAGAAACATTTGGGCTCTCCTCCCGGGCAGAGGGGAGATAATTGCCGCTGGAGTGGGACGCCAGTTTCCTTCCATATTTCCCTCCAGTTACTGGGCTATCTAAATGCGGCTTACCCCGCAGTGTCTGAAAACGTCTCTTGGCCTGACGTTTTGCATAAAAGATACACGAGGTCTTTAATCACGTATCATGGCATTGCTGTCTTTCCGAGCAGCTGTGCACCTCCAGCTCTTGTAGCCGCTTCGGGAAAGGAATTTGTTCCTTGTGTTGGGGGATTTCACAGGAAACTCTAAATACGAATCTGATCCAGGGGAAGCAAAGCGGATGCCAGACAAAAAGGAAGGGCTGATTTCCTTGTGGGAAGGGGAGAGAGAAAACCTTTGATATAGGTTTCAGTTGATATTCAGTGATTTGGGGGTGAATTCAGCACTGCTGGCTGTTGAGCGAAGATGAATTGCGTGATTAGGGGGCAATCCTGCATTTATTTATCTGTGAATAGCTCTTCCCACCAAACGGACTACAAATCTCATGCCGGCCATCCTGTTGGAACTGCAGAATGACTTAACAGAGCCAGCAGCACCCACAGGAACTCCTCTCTTTGCTGCTGAGCAAGTTTTTCATATGACCAGGGAGCTGCAAATGCAGCAGTGGCCTCCGTGTGCAAGCAACCAATTCCCACTCTACATACATGTGGTGCCCGGGAAGGCAATTCTCTTTACACCTGCAGCCGTCAAGCAGGGAATAACGTTCTTTGCTCCTCCCCAGCCTCTAGCACTCCCAGAGAAGTCTCAGACGCTCAGCTTCTTTGGGTGTCCTAAGAAAAGGCGCCAGGAAGCCCAGAGGGCTCGGCGGGCTCCAGCATCTGCGCGGGCGTGACCCCCTGGATAAGCCCAAGGGGGCTGGGGGATGCCACACAGCAGCACGCCAAGGCTAAGCAAGCCAGCTTCTTATGGTGCCACGGGAGGGCAGCCAGGTGCACCTTCTGCGGGGAAATGGCAGCGGTGCCTCCCAACAGTCAGGAGGTCCTTGGAGGAGACCCCTCGGTGCCTCCGCCATCAGAAAGACAACTCGGTGGCAGTTGAGGGGAGACTGGGTCACACACTGCACTTCACCATAACATGGAGCATGGCTTGGAACTGGGCACTACAGCTTGCTGAACAAACCATGGTTTAAGCAAAGCTTGGCTTAGTGCAATGTGTGAACCTGCAACAAAAGCTGGGCTTGGGATTCTGCCCGTCTCTGGAAAATGGCTGATGGACTGTTGAGATGTGCCTCCTCCTCCTCCGTTAAAATCTGCTTCCTCCACTCCAGATGTATTTCTGACTCACCTTTGCTGCCACATAGTGGTCCTCTGGAGCTTTGCAGCCCACGTTTCCTGTGCTGAGGAACACGAGTCAAAGAGAAGACCCATTCCTCTCCATTCCCTCTGCCAAACTGCAGTGGTGCACGGGTGGGAGCAGAATTTGTGGACACCGGACGACACAAGAGTGCTTTGTGGGTGGCTCTTTCCTGCGCATCACGCTTTGGGCAAAGTATGGCGAGGCCCAGCAAGAAACCCTTTTGGGGGGTGCCGGTTCTTCCTGAAGCAGAGGGAGGGTTCTGCGCCTGCCGTGACGCCCCTGGGCTGACGTTCTGCTGCTGGGCTGGGTTAGCAGTGTGCCACCTCCCGGTTGCCTTGGCAACAGAAGTAACTTCAAGCAGCCTTTCTTCCCTCCCTTCTTAAAGGAACCGGGCTCTCAAAAGCAGAGCCAGCTGGTAGGGGGGTTAAACAAGGACGTATTTTGCCCCTTTGCAGTTTAATGTTTCCTCAGTGCCATAAGAAAGACTTCCACCCCAAGTTGACCTAGATCAATACTGTTTTATGCAGATGCAGCTTTTATATCATCACAGACCCCAGTAGCCCTGTCCCTTATGGTAAGCAGCATTCACGGCCGATCAAGTGTGAGAAAGAAAAGGTCAGGCGTTTTGCAGGGAAGATAAAACAGAGCAAGACCTCTGCTTTGCCTGTCTGGGCTTGGTGCTCCATGGGGTGCTCGGCAGCAGTTCTCCTTCCTGCTTCCCTAAGGTCCCAGCACACGCCGGCTGCACGGGAGCTTTTGAGCCAAGACGGTGGCCAAGCTCCTTCGTGGAGGCCAGATGAACCCGGCTTCAGCTGCGATAAGCCAGGGAGGGTCCAAGGCAGCTAAGAACCAAGGAAGATTCTCCAAGTTACCCTAGGTCAGGACCTGGGGCTCCTACTCCCGAAATCAAGGCATGTGTGTCTAATACACCGAAAAGCCCACTCTCAGCCTCAAGGTCCCACACAGCTTGTTTGGACAGATAAATGTTGTTCTTCCTGGAAGCAAAGTTACGTTACAAAATTGGGATTTTCAGTGGAGATGCTGATGTCTCTGGGACAGAGGAAGGATTCCTGATACAGAAGCACAAACTGACCCACCAGTGTAAACTCTCGCAACTTTCACGCAGAACCTACACAACCAGGAGGTAGCAAATTTTACTTTAAACCAGCATTATATTTTGCCCACCTTACAAACAATAAATTCTGTAGGACTCACATTATTGCCATTCACGTCTTGCTGTCAGCAGCGCTGGAGGGTAAATTCCAGGAAATGCCCTACGCTTGTCTGGCGAGATAAGAACCCTGGATCCCAGGCTCTCCGTGTTTTGCTTCATTGTAACTTCTACCAAGAGGTTCACATGAGACTACTAACACCTCTTTTTAGCCCATTTCCTGGATGGGCTGAAGAACCTGCGTACAGCTTCTTGTGGCAGATAAAGATCCAAAATAAATTTTGCTGTTGCTGAGTTGTAATTGTAGCCTGTAGAATTTTGGGTTTTTCGCAGCCGATCCCGGGCCTTTCTGTCGCGTGCGTTATATTGTGCCTTTGTGTTGCCCTGGCCGCTGACCTGTCATAAAGACACCACCGCTGCTGCGGTTGCCAGGTCTGGGGAGTCCTCTCTCCGGCAGCTCAGAAGGGAACCAAGGCTACCCGGGCAGCTTCCTCTGGCGGTTGGCAGCAAGTGCAGCACCCGGTCGAACCCGGCTGATCTCCTCTCCACGAAGCCAGGTTGCGCCTGGCACTGCCCGGGCAGCGCCAGTGACTGGTTCTTTTGGCTGCCCAAGGCCAGGCACTTTCCAGGATGCCTGGTCAGCGGACAAATGTTCCTATGTTATCGTCCACTTGGCCCTTTGTGCCTTCTTCCTTAAACCTTCAGATATTTGCTTTCTTTGCGTGTTGTTGTGCTCATAAGCCCTCAATTTGTGTAGATTTCTTAAATTTTTCTGTCTTGTTTAATGGATCTCCCCAACTTCGTTGCATGCTTATTAGACATAATCCAGATTCTTAGTGTGTTTCCTAAGATTGACAGAGAAAGCTCAGAATAATGCTCTTTGCCGGAGGTGCAAGAGACGGGCTTGGCTACACACTAACTGCGGCCATCAACGGGACGCAGAAACTGTGCGCAGACCGGCCCGACCGCAAAAGCCTCCCCGCGCTGGACTGAGCCCGGGCCCGTCGGAAGAACGGGCAGCCCGGGCCAACAGCCGAAGCCATCCCCGTGGATGCTCTGCAGCCAATCAGCTGCCAGTTAGGAAGCGCCTCTGCGGGACGGCTCTGCCCTCTTCACTGTTACGAGCTCCCTGCCCGACCCTCCGTCCCCAGCCAACCTGGCGCGCGGTTCCCGCATGCCTGCCTCGGTGCGAGGCCGGAAGC